AGGAGGAGGATAGAACTCCCCACCACGCGTGGGGGGAGGAGAAAGGGGGAGAAAGGAAGATCATCAACGGCCGCCTAGGCCAGCATGGCAAGTGTTTTACCGCGTCTCTCATGTAGTCCCTTGTTCTGGGAGAGATAGCGTCACTGTAGTGGATGGGATCCCACCACCTGCCAGCCAGCCAAGGAGGGCCTCCGACCGACCAACCCCCAGGGAGAGGGAGGACCCAGGGACGGTAGACCGAAGTCAATACCTCCGGGCGGGAGAGGAGAGAGGAGCCAGACTCCCCTAGGCCGAGGCCAAAGGCAGGAGTGGGCGGGAGGGAGGAGAATGTTTCGCGATGAAACAAAAAACTCACGATAAAAACCGTGGTGTTGAGTTTTCAATCGCCGGAGGTGTAGCGGAGACGGAGGATGGACTTAAAGCTAGGGAGGCACCTCGATATTTATAATCTGGGTGGTCGCGGGCTACATATAATCCCTGACTTACTATGTACCTGCCCTACTAACCATTCAGTATCATAGCAATGCGAACTCCGTTTCATCCTAAAAAGTAACTTCCCTGCTCTCTCCCTGTGTGGAGTGATCAGCTCCGTCAATGGGGTTAATGATGACTCTTCTATGTGCATAGCTTAGAGTGCATGACAAAGATAACTAACTCGCCCAGTGATTTGTTATTAACCAATCGTGAACTAGTCTTCCGGATGACCCAGTTCATGCGAGCTAGGGGTGGTGCAGCTACCCCTCGTCAATAGCAGCACCAAGACTTCCGGAGGCCATAGCTTACTAACTAACTGACCAATCCGGTTCAACCAAGTCTTATCTTGTAGAGTGGAGCTCCTTCTATGTTATCCAGTGAAAACCCCTCGGCCGCTTATCTTTATCTATGGATAGTGAAAGGGTAAAGACTTGCATGATGCCTTATCATTTCGTGCGGTAATATAATACTATCACGCGGGGCATGGAGTCGAACACATGACCTTATGCATTTAGTCATGTGCCACACCAATTATGCTTCTATGTGTACCATAATCAGACAATCCTGGTATGGCTCTAGGAGAGGAAGACAGAACTTGTTACAATATTTTTCAATATCACGTCTCTTATAGCCATCATTATCAACTCCCTTTCTGTACTCCTTCCACTTGGGTTCCAGCTTTTTGGAACTATCTTTAAGTAGTAGCTGCGGAGATTGCTTTTTCAACCTCTTGTACAATATTGGAAATTGACCTGTTGCTAATTTTGTAACTGGAGCTGGTACTTAGTTACTTTAGTTTGTTTTATATTTTGTTTTTAGTATCAGTTAATACCCGGTTATTTTTATAGTTTGGTTGAGTAAGAACATAAGTGAAAATTCATGATCGTACTCAAACATATGTACTTAAAAAGACCAACATCTTCCATTCTAGAAATGATAGACTTTGACAGACAGTATTCTAATATACTCGCTTGAATAGTTATCTTCATTTTCCTATTATACTACTGCAGCCTCCCTTACTGAGCCTAGGGCCATTACACTCTACTAGTTTAGTGCTCTACTCCTATTGTAGCCAACAGCATGACTAGTTCCCCGGGGTAAACATGTTGCAAATTTTATCATTATTTACAGGCCCATATTCGGTAACAGCTTATACCAACACTCCAGCTGTTGATTCTGTTATAGTTTTTAACATCCAAGTATTATATTTCTACTTTACTTTGTTGAATATTTTAATTTGTTTCATATCTATATTCTCTTCAATAATATTGTATGTTCCTCTACTTAGTAGTATCTCTAGTTTACGAACATTACTATAGCAAAGTATATATTACATATATTTTCATTAATATTTCATGATACTATTAGGGAATTATTATGTGTTTTCTTATTTGGTATTTACATTTATTTCTTATATTTTATGCATCATCAGGTACAGTCATCGGTCATTTGATTTACAATTATGTTCTAATTATTCACTTACACCACTGCAAATTTATACATGTTCTATAGGATTTCCTTGGCAGTTCTTCAGGGTCAAACACTTTTGCACTTATGTTTTTCCTACTTATATTACAGTAAAATACATTGACACTTATATTTTTTCTTACATTTTTTCTTAGTTTTGTGAAGAATGTGCACCTGTATAAATTGGGATTACCACCCATCTCACTTAAGAGAATTAAGAACAAGAACTACTACCAATCTACCTTTATACAAAACTCCTCCTCACTTAACGTGCCTGTGGTATACTCTTTCTACCACATTATATTTTTGTATCCAATTATTAAGATAGTACTGTACCGTACACATTTGAATACACTTCACGTAATACTTGATCAAGTAATGCTAGAGTTGAACTTACTTTCTCCAACAGAGTTGATGTAGGTATGAACTACCAGTATTGTTTCAGCATCCTCTAACATACTTATAATCCCTTGAGGATCTGCTTACTTTGGCTTTCAATTGATTGTTTCTTGACCTATCATACTTCCTGTCACATAATCCTACAACTAACTCAATTACTCCAACCACCTCCTACTACTAATCACTTAGCCAATGCTTTCCAACTTTATACTTTTGATGTTACTCCAGTAAACAGATCAGACCCATCTAAAGCTTTGTTTTCTTGTCAGGCCTGCAACTTGAGAAATAGATATACTTGATAGTACTAAGTATAATACAAGTTCTTAACCTTTGGGTTCTAAGATTCCACTCTTATAACCTTTGAAATTGCTTTTATTGCAGCTTTCAAAACCTCTATTCATGTACCTGATGGCTTAAAATTACATCCTGCCCAGATAGGCTACTTGCTTTAGACTGCCTTAACTGAACTGTCCTGCTCTACCACCTCTATTGCAGCTTAAACTGAGCTATCCTCCTGGGCTGGCTCCATGGCTCTTTGTACTGTACTATTTGGCTGCTCAGACTCTCTTGGAATTTGACTAAAGCTGATTGCTTGACGTGGACCCAGGTAGGCTACTTGAATTTCTGGACTTGGATTTACAGTTGTAGCTACTAATTTCATAGCTTGTAGTTGAGTATAGTGCCTGCGTACTCTTAGTATAAAGAATACTACTAGAAAGATACCATATATTATTATTATAAATATATATAAGACCTTGATTTTATATTCCTAGCATACTATTTTTTATAGCTAGACTTGTATATGAAGAGCCTGAGAGACCAGAAATAGCTGTAGGTGAAGAAATAGTTAATTACTATTTTGAGAAAGGTTCGCTTGTTAGATTTGCTTTCTTCTTGCACAACTTGGAAGGGCAGAGGAATTAACTGAATTTGAGAATGATACAGAGAAACTCCACTTAGAGATGGCCAGAGAGTTTAACATAGAAGGTAGATTAGAATATTCTTGTATGTAATTTTGGACAAGAAAAATGTATACTTAGAGTATAAAGATGAAGAGCATATAGGTATAGAACCAAGGACATGTAATATTAATGTATTATTTTTTATAAGAGATTATAAATTAAAGTTAAATTCTTTTCAATGGTGGTAGATTTAGGATAAGATTTTAGTTAAATATAGGGAAGAGTATTATATATTGTATTGAGCAAGGTATATGTTTTAAGTACATAGTATCATATTAATGTGAGCAGACAACTTATTAGGATAGAATGGAGAGTACAACAAGTACTTTGCTATAAGGCAGACACTACACTGAAGTTACAAGAATAGAGAGAGGGAACTGAATAGATTGTAGGTATGTTAGAGAATACAAGATAGAAATCAGGAGAAAGAAGCCATAGGCAGAGTGTTTGGAGGGATGAATACTGCAAGTGTATTTTAGAGTGAGAAAAATGTGAGTTAGCTGCTGTAGGATATTGTCTGGGTATTTTAGTACTAGAGCAGGGTACTAAGTGGAAATTTTGAAGATAGTAGGTAGGCTAGAACCTTAGAGAATGAGGCAGATGTAAAGCTATAAACATTGTAATCAAAACAAGGATTTTATAGTAGCAGGATTAAGACATGATTCAGATGTCCAATCAGGAGATGAGAAGGCAAAGAAGGCAGGCAAGTAAAGAAACTGTTAATGGGATGCAAGAGAGGTAGGAAAAACTTTGTAGTAAGAATTAGGATATACAAGACAGAGTAAATGCCTGTAATGAGAATCAGGATATATAGAATTTAGGGTGATATTATAATAAAAGTCAAGATACACAGGACACAGGGAATACAAAAAAATAAAAAACTCAGTATTAGGACTTAATATATACCACCTACATGTCAGATGCTAAGTTTATTTTTGCTGATATTTCTACTTATAAGTAGTTTTCTAAGTAACTATCTATTAGTTCCAACTAATTCTAATTTGGAACCCAGTTTTATTAGCATTATAGGAATTACTAGTACAAACTCTATTATTCTCTACAATCTCTCAATATTGGCAGTATTAGTTATGTAAATTATCTGAATGGTAGATACTCTTTAATTTGTTGTCAAGAGTTTTATATTTCTGTCAGGGCTACTCATTATAGAGATTGAGAAAATAGAGTGTTGAGATACTACTAATGATTGGTAAATAATTCTCAGAATCTAGAAATAATTAAGTAAGAATAGTATTTATACATTACTAATAGTCTAATAATGAGGTAGGATTCTAATTTGATCTTGTCAATTCAGATACTAACCAAGAGCTAGTTCCTACTTCTTTGACAATTTTTAATTTTATACTAACTGCTTCTAATAAGATAAACAATTTTTCTATTATGTATAAAGATACTGTTATAGTACCTCAAACTCACAGGCAACTGCAAATACATTGGGCCTATTTTCCTCATCTAGCCTTTTGATTATATTTTGGATCTTTTTCTCAATCTTAAAATATTGATTTAAAGACACAACTGGACAGGTGGTTGAAGAAGAGAAGATAGAGGTTACAACTTGAATACTTGATTTTTAAAGGATGTTTTTGTTAAGCTATTATTTTCGTTGAGGTGCCAGGCACTTCATAGGAGTGCTATCATTCTTCAAAGATTGCTAAAGAATCATTTGAAGTAATAGGAACCTTGGCACAGTTAGAGCCTTTGTAGGAGTTGATAAAGTCATAAATATAACCTCAGAGGAGACATGAGATATATTACAAGTATTAGAGAAATGAAGCTGCGGATTATTGTTGATGGGATTAACAAAGAATTATCTAAACTCCCTCAGGTCATAGCTAAGTGTATTGAAAAACAGGAAGGAAACAAATTTAATGGATAGTTCTGGCATTGAATACACGGCATTCCGGCTCATACTTGGCATGCTGGACACTTCCCCAGCCTTGGCATCCTAAGCCTTGGCGCCAAGGTGTCCGGATACTTTTGAAATCCTGTTGTGCTGGGGTGTACCGACTGGCCCAGGGTAGACTAGAGTGCTGTACTCGTACTGTGCTGTACTCGAGTACCGACTAGTATGATACCACAACTTCGAGGGGCTCTAGTTGACAAACTATTACTGGTACTGTACTCGGGTCTTTTCTTTTCTCCCTTCATTTTGCCCCCGTCTACTCCCCATCGACCTGTTCGTCTTTTCCTTTCCTTGCCAACTCGCTTGCTCTCGCCACTTTCTGTTCCGCTCCGACTCCTCCCCCTTTCTTGAGTTACGGGGAGAAGAGAGCGAGCGGGTGTGGGTATAAGACGGAGTGGGAGAGAAAAAGAAAAATATAGAGGGAGAGAGGGAGAGGGAAAGAGAGCGGGGCTGAGGCACTTTCGGTCCTGCGTGTGTAACTTACCGTATGTATGGGAGTCAGAAGGTTACAACCTCTTCATCCACGCGATCCCTAATAACTTACGGTACGGCTCTAGCTTGCTCCCTCGCCTTTCCCCCCTTTCAGTTCGTGCTACAAGGTTTGTTGTTTTCTCGCTTCTCCCATCGCCCCCCTTCATACTTACCTTCATCGGCAGAGTTTGCATTCTCACGGAATCCTGACCTGTCTGATTTTGTGTTCTGGGTTAGTTTCAGCCCTATCCACTCTTTTATTTTTCGACGCCGGACGCATTTGATTGTCGTCCCCGCAGCAGAAACTGGCCTTGGGCAACTCTTGCTCTCTCACCCTCTTCTTGTCTTGTTCGGCCTTTCAATTATTGCGAAATTACTTGTTCTGAATGAGCTTGTGACTCGTTCCCTTTCACCCCTCTGGTTGTAGTTGTTCACTCCTTCCGCAGGTTTGACGGTGCCTCATATCCTCCATCATGAGCAACGCAACAGGTATGCTTGTCTGTATTCGGCTTTATACTCTCCCTAGTGCCGGGTTGACGGTTGGCTGATTTTCGCAGCTACCACTCCTACTCCCAATCCTCCCAATACACAGACATCCCTCGCTCCACCTCCTCCAAATACGCAGATAGATACCATTATCACTACAGCCTCTACCTCCTCACGGAGAGTCACAACCACCGTTATAACCTCTACCTCGGTTCCACCGACAACATCACATCCAGCCTCAAGGACCTCGATAGTGTCATCTTCCAGTTCGACTACATCCAGTTCGGGTTCCGATTCCGAAACATCAGCAACCGCTATCCCGGGTAATGGTGGAGGTGGAGGTGGACTAAATGGAACTACGAGGGTTGTTGTCGCAGTCGTAGTCCCGATAATTGGTGTCGCGTTAATCGCAATTGGATTGTTATTCCTTTGGAAGCGGCGGCAAAAGAGCAAGGCCGATGCAGAAGCCCGCAGGAAGGAAGTTGAGGAATACGGTTACAATCCGAACCAGAGTCCCCACGGTGGCGCTGCCGCAGGAGCTGCCACGGCCCGGGGCGTTGATGGTGAAGACGGGCAGTACGAGATGGCAGATAACGAGGCAAGCGGTTACCGGGGATGGGGATCGACAAACGGTGGGCGAAAGGTATCGGGAATGGGTTCAAGCGTTGCAACAAGTCAGCAACCACTATCGCCGGTGGGCATGGGCTTTTCTGAGGGAGGGTATAATAGACCTTTAGAAGGTCCTGATGGGTATGCGGGCGTAGCCGCATCTCCGAGCGCATCAACGTTTCCTGCAGGCAATACACCCTCCACCGATGGACACTCTAATGCTCCTTTAATTAACGGTCGTGGCAATCCTCCTAGTACTGCAGATTCTAGTGTTACCGGCGCCACGAACGGGCCCCAGACGGCGGATAATACGGAGGGAGTCCATCGAGGCATATCCAATGCATCGTCCAATTATTCCGCTGTCACGCACTCGACACAATCCGACACAGGCCAGCCCCTCTCACATCATGACGCGCAATATTATGGCGCGGATGCCGTCTACGGGGACGGATACTACTATTCTGGTCAACCACCCAACCAGTACCCCGATAACGCGGGATATTCACAAGCTCCTGTGATCAGGGATGTCCAAGCAAGAAGGAACACACGCATCGAAACTCCGACAAACACGCACTTCCCCCAGCAAGGAAACACTGGAAGTGGAATCGCTCAGAACTTTTAAAAATCGGCAGGGACCACAAGTTCCTGACTGGGTACTTCCGTTTCTAAGGGTTGTAAAAGGTAGAGATTATTTTCACACGTCCGGCCTCACTCATCGAGGATGATACCCTCTCTGTAGCTCCTTTTCCTGTATCGTACTCGCTTAATTTTTCCTCTCCTACTTTGACACCGCACCCCGGCATCAATTTCCGGGAGAATCCCCCAGCATTTCCCTACACTATTTTATTTTTTTCGCTGTAAATGCATAATTTTTACTTCATTACCTCCCTATCTATCTCACTCGCCGTTCTTTCGAGCCTTTTTCTCTTTCTAGTTGGCCGTCACTCAACCAGTACTTATCTTAAGTTACTTGCCAATATGATTCAACCTTTTCTTACTTGCATCTTTTCAACTAGTCCCTTCTTTTGCCAATTTTTAGTAGGGGAGGATATATAATCTAATGTTGAAGCTACCTTTCTTGCTTTTCTTTTTTTCCCCTCGTTTATTTTTCCGTTTCCTACTACCTGGATTCTACTACCTGGATTCTGGACAATGTGATTGGCTGGTGGAAGGGCGCATTGGTAATGTAGGAGGGAACGATCAGTCGGTGACGGCATTGATGAGGAGTGTGGGCTGTCTGATTGGGATTGGGAAAAACTATTGTTTTTTCAAAGAGGGATGTTTACGCTTCAGCTGGATATTGTTCTTCGATGTATTTTTTCCTCCTTTTCATCAACTGCTTAATTATGGCGTATGTCGTACCGTACTCGAATGCTTCACCGCCACATCCCTGTTTTGCAGGAATCGCCGGGGGTCACTAGACATCTGGTCAGTATGTACCGGTAGTTTTTATGCTTTCTTCCTTCTGACACCCACTCTTGCCAAGATTGGAGCATTATTGCTACGACATCTGAAAGCTCGCAAACTGGGATTTCGGGGCAGTCTGAAGAGTGCCTGACAACTCATTTTTACTTTTCAACTGAACACCTGCACTTTGTGATGTGCCACATTCTGGTCATTAGTAAATACGGGTCCTTGGAACTTATCTTATGATAGGTTGAAGTCTTCAGTCTCAGGAAATATTATCCTGAGTTTATTATCAATTTAGGTCCTGTTTGGCAGGTCACAATATAAATATATTGTAATAAAATTTGTAAATAGCAGATATTCTAAAATAAAGGTATAGTATATTTCAGCAATATAGTATCCTCCATTACTGCTCCACCTGTCAATTGAAATCTCAACATTATGAGTCCTACTATTAACTATAATCACTTTCCTACCTTCTCCTATCATTTGGCTTAGGCCTCTGGAAGGGGGTTGGCCTCCCTTCTCTTTCCTCTATTAAGGTATTTATATATCCTATTGAAACCTATCCTTTAATTGTAGGTCCTTTATCTTTATAGTATTACTTCTTCCTCGACTATATTTTTACCTCAATTAGTATTAGTACAGTCAGCAATCTTATAATTACCTTGTCAGATAGCTAGGAGTATAGTTTGTAGATGTAGAAAACAACCAACAGGCTTCAGTCAATCTCCCTATTGTCTTGTTTTCCAAAAAGCAGCCTAGTAAGAAACATACTTCATTACTGATAGATGATTGTTACACATATTAATTCACAGACCCTACCTCTCACAGACCTTCTCAGAACTACCAAAATTTCATAGTTTATACTCCTCTCTGGCCCACTGGTTAGGCCCTCACATCTAAATAAGGTAGCTACAGTTAGGTATCCTAATAGTATAAACTGATGAGATGAAAGCTGAGTTCATAACACGATACCTGTAGTCATGATCTACCCAACTAGATGCTTCTGACAGAGTATATAAGAGGGAAATACAGACAATGTCTGAAAAGTAGAATATAGTCAATTAGGCAGGTAACTGCAGAGGTAGTACAGGCTAAGTAAGGTGGACCATCTTAGATATGGTTCAAAAGTATTGGAACAATATTACTAGCAGTATAAGGAGTAAGTAGGACTTGCCTGCAATGATGAGACATATAGCTCAGTCCATTGGTTGCACAAAATTGAGCCAACCAGAGACTGATCTATGTAATGGAGGCTCCTCTAAGAAGATAGATCCGAAGGATGTAATCCCACCAAACTTTGAATGTTTTGAATACAGCTCTTACAAATATAAAGAATAAAAGTAAATAGTAAACCTTAATATTGTTAAGCTGAAGGGTATCTCAATTCAACTTGTGAGAGATTGTTGATTGTAATGGAGTAGAAGAGTTCTCATATAATCTTTAAGTAGTCAGACTTATACTAAAAACCACTCCATCAGGTTATACCAACTACTATAAGTATGTCCTTCTCTGCAAAGGATTGGCTAGTACTATTACCACATCCCCAAAGGGTCTAAGGTAGCTGTGCACTCTAGCAGGAGTCTTCTATATATATATCAGTTCCTGTAAGGCATTACCACATCCTCCGTCTCCACTACACCTCCGGTGATTGAAAACTCAACACCACGGTTTTCATCGTGAGTTTTTTGTTTCATCGCGAAACATTCTCCACCCTCCCACCCACTCCTGCCTTTGGCCTCGGCCTAGGGGAGTCTGGCTCTTCTCTCCTCTCATGCCTGGGGTATTGACTTCGGTCTACCATTGCAGGGCCCTCTCTCTCCTTGGGGGTTGGTCGTTCGGAGGCCCTCCATGGCCGGCTGGCAGGTGGTGGGATCCCTTCCACTACAGTGATGCTATCTCTCCCAGAACATGGGACTACATGAGAGACGCAGTAAAACACCTGCTTTGCTTTGCCTAGGCAGCCATTGATGATCTTCCTTCCCCCTTTCTCCTCCCCCCACAAGTGGTGGGGAGTCCTCTCCTCCTCCTGAGTTGGCCTCGCTTAGCCTTCTCATGGTTGGCAACCCCTTAACCACCATCGTCAGACGGCCGGGACTACAGTCGCAGTAGGGGAGAAAAGCCAATAGGCTACGGTCAATCTCCCCATTCTCTTGTTCCCCTAAGAGGATGCCTGGTCAGACATGAACGCGACACTGATAGACGATGTTTAAGGCCTTTGGGTCTACCCCACCGCTCTGCTCTCCCTATGGTCGGATCGGCTGGCACCCAACTGCTACTCCTTCCCCTCCCCCCAGTTATTGCCCACGGCTAGCTCGTCTCCTCCTTCCCTCCATGGTATTGCACTGTCTCCTTGGAGGGGTCTGGGGGGGGGCCTCTATCTTAGTACGCTTCGGGTGTCACTTCCTGCTTGAATGAGTGGACTTGCCCTTCGGGGCCTACGTGGCTTGCTACTAACCTTTCTTTTGTCTTTTTGGGATTTCTCAGTGGGTTTTCCTGGCCCTTCCTGCTTTCTTCTTAGTTAGGATTTCCTTGTTCGTCCTTCTAGCCAGGCTTGGGTTTCTTTTCTTTGAGGCAAGATGTGCGGTTGGCTCCATACCAGAGGGGCTTAGAGGGTTGGCTTTTTCCTGTGGCGAGAGGAGGGATATGGGTTGCTTGTTGTCATACCTAGCGCTCCATACGTTTTTTGTACTCTAAACAAATAATCAATAAGTCAAACAAAAAAAACAAAAACAATCTGAGAGATTACCACATCCTCCGTCTCCACTACACCTCTGGCGATTGAAAACTCAACACCATGGTTTCTATCGTGGCTTTCATCGTCTAGCACCACCACCCCCCTACCATCTCCCTCCATCTAGCCTCAGCTACAGGAGGTCAGCTCACTTTCGCTCTCCCTTGGGGTCCTGATTTCTTTCTTGATTCCCTAGGTTCCATCACTGGTTGAGGACTCTCATCTTCGTGATGTTTCCCCTCTTCCTACCCCGTCTTGCTTAGGCGTTGGGACGGTCAGCAACCTACTTTTCCACCTTCAACAGATGGCTGGGACTACAGTTGCAGCAGGAGAGACCAGCCTACAGGCTACGGTCGATCTCTCCATTGTCTTGCCCCCATAAGAGGCTGCCTAGTCAGACACAAATGAGGATACCAATAGTTGTCGTTCACAGAATTGGGTCTACCCCTCCTCTACCCTTTGGGGCCTCTTTGGCTGGCAGGTGGTGGGTTCACTTCCACTACAGTGACGCTATCTCTCCCAGAACAAGGGACTACATAAGAGACGCGGGAAAATACTTGCTTCGCTTAGGGCTCCTCTCTACGGTTGGATCGGCTGGCACCCTACTGCCACCTCCTCTCAAGCTGGCACCTTATTACCTCAATCGTCGAATGTCCCAGAGGACAAATGGTTGCTGGCATGCCTGCCACACACCTCCTCTCCTCGCTTCTCGGTGGCCACCTTTGGGGTGGTTTCCCTTATACCCTTGGTGTCCAGGGCTCCGGCCCCCTCCTGCTGGCCCTCGTCATATGGCCTAGGGGTTCCTATATTGGATTTGAGTTGTGATCATTGGCACTTAGGGGTTTGGTTTGGGTTTCTGCCTTTAGGTGTTTTGTTCTTGGAGTTTTGATGGGTTCTTGGTTTACTGTCGGGTAGTTAGCTTTCTTTTGTCGCTTGGCGGTGGGAGTTATTCGGTTGAGCAGTTTACGGGACGGATTATGGGCGGGTGTAGTTTTTGCTACCCCTGAGGATTCTTTTAGCTCTGTAGTTTGGCCTGGTCCTGTGTGGGGCAGTTTTTTAGGAGTCATAGCTAGCACTCCATATGCCTTTTTGTCCCATAAACAAAAATTTAAATGAGTCAAACAAACAAACAAAACATGTAAGGCATTACCAACATCCTCTGTCTCCGCTACACCTCCAGCGATTGAAAACTCAATACCATGGTTACTATCGTGGCTTTCATTGTCTATCACCACCCCCCCCCCCTATCTCCCTCCATCTAGCCTTGGCTACAGGAAGTGGGCTCGCTTCCCCTCTCCCTTGAGGCCTTTATTTATTTATTAGCCCTCTTCGTTCTATCATTGATTTTGGACTTTCATCTTTGCGATGTTTCTCCTCTTCCTACCCCACCTCGCTTAGGCGTTGGCACCGACAGCAACCCCATTTTCCACCTTCAACAGACAGCCGGGACTACAGTTGCAGTAGGAGAGAACAGCTTA